CCGGCGGCGCAGGCAGCTTTCGGAGCGCACGTTACTGAGCCAGGGTCAGCAGAGGGGCTGAAAGTTTTCCAAACTTCGGGATCGGGACATTAATCTGTTTTCCACAAACCTGATTATATGTTCTCCGTGTTCTGATCCATTGCAGGATTTGGAAAGAAGTTTAAAAACAAATAAATAATGATAATAATAATAATAATAATACTCCAAACATCCCACGGAACCCGCGTGAGCGCGGTAGACGCGGTCAGCTCTGATTTGGGCACAGTTGTACCCCGTTCAACCTCTGCACCTGTAGCCACGTCCGTGCACGCGTGGCCATCTGCTTGACCTGAATTCTCCATCAAAATCCTCCCCTCCTGCAGCCCTGCTGAGATGCATATGTACATCTGTCTATGTATGTACATATATACGTGCCAGGGGCACCTATAGGAATGACGGCTAACTGCTTGCCCCTAAATAACGCCACTTTCCAAGGTGTTCTAGTAGCAGTGCCTGCATCCCTCCAAATCACACGTGGATTTTGAAGCCCGAAAAGCCAGAAGTTGCTTTTGAAGCAGCAAACGTTTGTCTTTTCGAGAAAACCCGAGGACATTTAAGCGCAGCGCGATCCCAAACGCAGCCTCGCTGGCGACTTCCCACGCGGAAAGAACAGGGACTGCGGAGAGTCGCGGTGAGAAATGAGAGAGGCCGGATCTGCCGGCGCAGCGCACGCGCTCCGTTCCCGATCCCGCCGCGGCGAGCGGGCCGAGCGCTCCGCAGGGATATAAATAACTGCAAAGTGCCGGCGGAAAATCCCTGGATTAGAGGGAGAGCTTCATGGCAAACTTCAGCCGCAGCGCAGGGCGCAAGGGAGAATCCCATCCACAGGGTGAACACGGCGGAGGGGTTTTAAGGGAAACAATAATGGGTTTAATAAAAACTTGCTTAAAAAAGCCGTGCAGCCCTATCTATGACTCTTTGTTTCGGAATTCAAACCAAACCTCATCAGGCACTAAGTGAAAAATGATTTTGAAACCTTGGCACGTACTTCTGGAAAGATGTGGCCCCCCCCCCAAGTCACCAGCTCGGGTTTAAATAAATAATTTTCATGTCAAAACTCCCTTCACCTTGAACTGGCTCCGTCCTGCGGCCGCCCCCACGGCTGCTGTCCCCCACCCCCCGAGGGCACGGCCCAACGCTAACGGGGTTATTTCAGGGCTCCTTCTTTCTCTGCAACGCTCACCCAAACGGGCTCCTTAGCGGTTTTTGGCCTGGAACAAATGTTTGAATCTTTCTGGGATGGAACAGAGAGAAACACAGGAAAGCTCATCCGTGTTAAATCCCAGTTCAAGCTCCTGTTTATGTTTAAACCAGCACAGTCAGAGCTGTGTAACCAACTAAATAAAGACCACTTCTTCCAGTTTACTTCCAGTTGCCTATGAAGGGATTAAATTAAAAAGACAGAAGAAGGAAACTTGCTTGTCCTGGAAACACAAGTTTTCATATCCAGGGTGGAAATACTGTGATGCAAAGTGCTGGCTTTTACGGCTCAAAAGGGCCGATGTGTTTCGGTGCCTGCGTCAGTCGTTCGAGTCCCAGTGCCACCGCGTGCCTCGACGTGCTCAGAGCGTGTCCCCGGCGGCCAGCGGTGTGTCGGCAGAGGACGGGGCACGGACCAAGACCCGGGAGAGCGGGTAGCTGAGCAGCAATGAGCCCATGAGCTGCGTTCAGCCGGTGCCATCGCAGTCGATTTGACGCACGTTAAACCCACCCGCAACTTTCTCAGGTGACAGAGACGTCCAAGTTCAGCACAAAGATCGAGACACAGCCACAGTCCCGCTTCGAGCGGGAGATGGCACCGGATGATCTCCACAAGGTCCCTTTTTCTACCATTTCTAGACACTGGAGCAGTCAAGAGATGGATCTGTGGATCGGTTTGCACGGAGGGAAAACCCTGAAGCCTACGCTACGGCGTAAAAGAGCAACATCTCCAGAAAATTTTAGAATCTGACACAAATTTAGCCTCAGGGACACTTCCCTTTATTTTCCAACAGCGACTGTGCTGCTGTTTGCATCTGCGACTTCCGAAGCATCAGAGGCAGCTGCTTCTCCTCTTTTCTAGACCTGAGCGTCTCTGGGGCTCAGCTCTCCTCTAGCAAACACTCTGAAAAATCATCTCAGCAGGCTCAAAGGTTCCAGGGCAGGCTCAGGAGCAAAAGACACCACTTCCCGACTTCCACGTACGCATCGCTCCGGGCAGACACCTCGAACGCTGCAACGCGGCGAATAACCAGGAAGCGAAGGGCGGCGCCAGCTCCGTATTCCAGCCCCGAGCGCGTTCACACGCCGGCAGCTTTTCAATGGCTTTATGGTGGCTAGAAAGTTTCAGCGTGGGGAAAGACATGGCACATGCCATCCTCCCTCCTGGGACACCTTTTCTTTAAAAAAAAATCTTCCTTTAAATATACATTCTTAGATATGAGAAGGAAACGTAACGACTTTAAGACACTTCTTCCACTTGTGCCATTTTTACTAAAATCAGCAATATTAGGAGACACTTTGCACGCTAATGTGTGGGGTTTTTTTCTAATTAAAACCTCCCATGTCCTGTAGGACAGGATACAGGAGCAGCTCCAGAGGAGCCGTAGGACACTCCGGTTACGTGCCATCACTCTGGCTAATTGTCCAAATGATACAAAACCTCTCTGGCTAAGAGCATTTTACCAACAACACACTTGATTCTGAAGGATGGCACGTGGGCAAGAGGAGGTTCACGCTTCCAGGTGCTCTGAAACAACGTTTAGGACATACAAGCTTGAATATAGTTATTTTTAAGCACTTTCACATTGGCAAATTTCAATTAATTCCCTTAGCAACACGCCGTTAAGATGTTCCACTGGAGGCAAAGAAGTCCCTCTCCTCCTATTTCTGCTGACTGCTTGGTCTCCATGCCTGAAATATTCAAACTAAAACAAGAAAGGAGGGGAAAAAAAAAACACAACAAAAAAAGACTAAAAATAATCAGGAAGGAAATACCCGTCAACAAACCTTGCTTCGGGTTGCCAGTCGCAGCGGCGGGGGCGCTGGCAGCGAGATGGGTGTTCTCCACGGTCCCGTAAACCACCGGGCTGTGCTCGGGGACCTGGCTGGAGAGCTGCTGGGATTTGAAGTACAAAACAGGGAGATAATGAGCGCGCGAACAGAAAATCTAGCAACGTGGAGCCACAGGGAAGCAAGCGGGGAGACGGGAATGGGGCGGGAGAGAAAAGAAAAGCAAAAGGCAGGGAAAAGAAAGAGGAAAAGATACACAGACCGATTGCACATGGGAAAGGGAGGGAGGAAAAGGCAGCAGGAAAAGGGGAAAAAGAGACAATTACTGTTAACAACAGCAAGAAAGAGTCAGCACAGCACAGTTATTAACACACTTTGTTTTCCGAACGCTTCTTCCGAGAGCAGCGGCAACGCTCCGCAGCGCAGTCTGCAAAACGTCGGATACACACCGAGACTCCGGGACCTCTCCGTAATTCCCATTTGTTCCCTGGACTCACCCCCTTTCTCAACTGATCACTTATTTCAAACATCGTAGATATTTCACTATATATTTATTTATTTGCCATGTCAATTTATTTATTTCCTATGTCAATATACATTTATTCACTATGTCAATGTATTTATTTATTCGCTATGTCAATATATTTATTTGCTATTTCAATATACATTTATTTATCTGCTATTTCAATATACATTTATTTATTTGCTATTTCAATATATATTTACTTGCTATTTCACTATATATTTATTTATTTCTCTATAGATTTATTTATAGAGAGATAACGTGTGTACGTATGCACGAATAGCGTATATGCGTTTCTCACACAGAGAAATTTGTTTTCCTGGTAAGAAAATAATCTGGTTTGGTTAAACCTGTGTGGTTGTACGGAAAAAAACCCAACCCTGTTCAATGCCTTCTAGGAACAGACTCACAGATGGTACCTGCTGGGTAATACAAGAAACCCAATTATGCACCAATCTAAAGGAGAGCAGGAGGAGCTGGTTCCCAACGGACGCCGAGCGAGCCCGAGAGTTTCGATATATCGAAACGAAACTGCAAGACCAGCGAAGTGACAAGGGTGAAAAAGCCATGGCCTGTTGCACAGATCAGATATTTCAATTATGTCCCCATGTTAACGGGACAAACACCTCACTCGTGTTGGTAAAAGTTCAATAAAGACCAAAAAAACATAAAAATCCGCTGCATTTTAGCTCAGAATTTCGGGAAGACCTTGTGTAAGACTGAGGAACTACCTCGAACTCACTCCAAGTCGGAGGCAAAGCACTCGAGTACGTTGGAGCGAATGTGAATGGGTCGAGTCAACGACTCACGTTGGCTAAAAAACCCTTCAACACCCAGGAGGGGCCATGTGAAGAAGAAAATGGGGTGAAATTTCGATTTCAGAACCTAAACCGGGAAGCCCCACAGTGACTGTTCTCCTCCAGCCACATCCCCATGCCGACTCCTCGCAAGACCTCCAGGAAAAGGGATTTTTAAACAACCAAAATAAAGCTGAGTGCCCAAGATACGGGGGTCCAATTCCTACTTTTGGACACGCCTATCAAAAAATCTTATTTCAAAACTTATTTCCCTAAAAAAAGAAACTCTGTGGTAACCTGCTCCTCTTCCTGGGACTCTTTTTCTTCCTCCCATTTCCAGCTTTTCCAGCTATTGCACCCGAACAGCGCAGAATAAAGAGTGAATTTTCTTTAATATGTTACTGCTCACCATTTCAGGCACCAGAAAGGTGGAGGAGGACTGTGAAAAGCACATCTGGAAAAATAAAAATCAAAATCTACGGAAACGCGGCGAAGGGTTGAAATTTGAGTTGAGATTGCTCCTCTTCCAGGAACGAGCACCACGAGAAGACGGGCTGGCCTACGGATGAAGAACTGCAGCCCTACCTCCAGCCAAAGCCAAAGGAAGCCAAAAAAAAACCAGTTCTCCAAACGAGCAGGTTTCCAGAACGTTTTCCCCTCACCCTTGGTTGATCATTAGCTTCATTTGACGAAAAACTGATGGATGAAAGCAGTGGGGAATAAGGAGAACATGGTAAGAATCGAAGAAACCCGTAAGCCGAGAAACTCCTCAGGTCAGTAAACATGTTTTCTTCAGAAATTTGGAAAACGTTCCTGCATTTCGTGGGGATGATACTGCAAAGCAACATAAATGGTACTGAAGTACCGACCTCACGGGCTCGTGGCTTCAACATGAAGCATTTAAAGACTTTTTCTAGGGAAAAAACCCTCGCTCGAAATTTATTTTTGATTTACGATGCTAAAAGAGCCGCTCTGTGTTATCCCATCCCACCGCGGCCCGGAGACCGAGCAGAGTGGGACAACCTCACGGCTACCTGGAAGAGGTTCACCAGGAAAATAAGAGCATTTCTTAACTCCTTGGAAGCCGTCTTCTCCGTAAGCCAGCGCTGAGTCGCAGCCACGCTCGATACGTGGCCCTGGGTTTTATTTCTCTTCCCAGCAAAAAAACAGAGCGTGAAAACCAGTGTCCTGCTAGAAACACGTTAAATAATCTCTCCACTTACTGGCAGCTTCTCCTGCAGGAATTTTGAAACATTTTAGGAACTGAGCAGCCACTGCGGAGGCGCTGGGAAGATCCCACCTAAAGCGTTTCTCGGTCAGCGACGCTGACTGTGAAGCAGGAGATACAAAAAGCACGGAAACGGCTAAAACCGTTTCGCGGCTCGAGTCTGCGCACCGACGCTCAGCTTTTTGGACAATTCCAAGGGTTTTTTGATGTTAAGTATTTAATCTACTGAGAGAAGAGGGTGTTCTGGGCTTGTGTGATCAAAGTTTTGGGTTTTCTTTGAGTCAGTTAAAAAACCAATCCAAATCTAAAGGATAAAATATGAAAACTTTGGAAGTTATTATTATTATAAAACAGCTGCTTCTTCAAATGTAGGATTTGGGACAGGGACTGGCCTACAGCAACGGCTTCCACACCCTTTTTGAGCAAGTTTCTCCCTCTCTGTGTCATTTAAGTAACGAGATTACAGAACCAGATATTGGTCGTCAATATACAAGATGTCTTAGTAGAATTCCATGTAATTCCAAAATATCACTGGACTGGGAGTCACTTCGATTAGACGATGCTTCGCCAAGCCTGGATTTGGAGTGTTCACCCAGATGAAACCTCATCCAACCTCCTTGATGTGCAGGGTTTGATTCCAAGGGGTGGTGGAATGAGACAGCAGCGATGATGTTCCTCTTGCACCTATTCCAGCAGCTGCCCCAAACTGGGAGCATTTCGATAGGGAGGTGTTTTCATCGGAACACGCTGACTGTTCCCAGCTTTTATCCGCTGGGGAAAGGGAATATAAAAAGCCCCAGGACGTTTCAAGCAAAGTAACGGCTGAATATTTCAAGTTTACTGATTTTAGACTGGTTTAAATGACAACCTCCACCACTCCGGGAACTCAGGCGCCGTCTAATTTCATCCAAGATACTGCACTTGCTCCAAAGAAACAAATTAGGGATGCTGTTGGGACAATAATTTTGAATTTCCTGGCTTAAGTGAGCTTAGATTTTCAGTTATGCGACACTAATGAACTTTTCCTGGTGAGCTCCATTTTCAGAGCTCTTCTGTGACGAACAAAAGTGGTTCCCAGCACCTAATGGAAGCGAAGGCTGGATGTTACACAACGAAGTATTTGCACACCTTAGAGGAGATGATCGGACATCGCTGCTGCGCTCTGCATCTGAATAAAAATTCAGGCTTATTAACCTCCTCTCAAAAAACATTTATTTCGTCCCGTTTGACTTAACTGTGGTACCTTAAAATAGATTTCAGAATGGGAAAAAAGGAGCCGGTAAGTGCCTGGATTAGCTGCACTATGGATAAAGACAAAACCTCGGCTGTTTTCCACTCTTCCCCACTTCTAACGGGGAAAGTTGTTCAGCATAAAGTAACTGGAAGAAGATCCCACCAGCTTTCAAACACTTTACACCATTAGTAGTTTCTCTTACGGAAAATGCTCGGAAAGAAGTTGAATGGATTCTCGGCTGTCTCCCCATCCAGCTGTAGAGGCAAAACATCAGGTCACTCTCCGGCAGAGAAATAGCTTTCGGGTCAAATATTGAAGAAATTGTTGCAAAACCATGGCTAGTGGGGAATTGCTCGAGCACGATGCGTCACTGCTGCTTCTCTATGATGGAGACCAGGAGGAGAAAAATGGTGGCCCAAAGCAAACGTTGATGGCTTCATGTGACAAAAGGATTTGTGATGAGTGGTGTCCTCAGGGGTTGGTGTTGGGGCTGGTGCTGTTTAATGTCTTTGTCGGTGACACAGACAGTGGGATCGAGTGCACCCTCAGCCAGTTTGCCAGTGACACCAAGCTGTGTGGTGCGATCGACACGCTGGAGGGCAGGGATGCCATCCAGAGGGACCCGGACAGGCTGGAGAGGTGGGCCTGGGCAAACCTCATGAAGTTCAACAAGGCCAAGTGCAAGGTCCTGCACGTGGGCCGGGGCAATCCCAAGCACAAGGACAGGCTGGGCAGAGAATGGATGGAAAGCAGCCCGGAGGAGAAGGACTTGGGGGTGCTGGTTGAGAAGAAGCTCACCATGAGCCGGCACCGTGTGCTGGCAGCCCAGAAAGCCAACTGTGCCCTGGGCTGCATCCAGAGCAGCGTGGGCAGCAGGGCGAGGGAGGGGATTCTGCCCCTCTGCTCTGCTCTCCTGAGACCCCCCTGCAGTGCTGTGTTCAATCCCAACACAAGAAGGACATGGAGCTGCTGGAGCAGGTCCAGAGGAGGCCACGGAGATGATCCGAGGGCTGGAGCACCTCTGCTCTGGAGACAGGCTGAGAGAGTTGGGGCTGTTCAGCCTGGAGAAGAGAAGGCTCTGGGGAGACCTTCCAGCACCTCCCAGTACCTAAAGGGGCTCCGAGAAAGCTGGAGAGGGGCTTTGGACAAGGGTGTGTAATGACAAGACACGGGGCAATGGCTTTGAACTG